CATGCCGGATAAATTCCCAATTCCGGTCATAGATGAGCTACTTGATGAATTGCATAGGGCTAGGTGGTTCTCTAAATTGAACTTGAAGTCAAGTTACCACCAAATAAGGGTGAAACCGGAAGATGTTCATAAGACGGCGTTTCGCACACACGAAGGACATTACGAGTTCCTCGTACTGCCCTTTGGATTGACCAATGCACCAGCAACATTCCAATCCCTCATGAATGAGGTTTTGAAACCTTACTTTGAGGAAATTTGTCTTGGTATTCTTCGATGATATCCTTGTGTATAGTAGAGATGAAGGAGAGCACAAGGAACATGTGAGAGTAGTATTGGAGTTGTTGAAGGAGCATGAATTGTATGCAAATTGGAAGAAGTGTGAATTTGGAAGGGAGGAAGTGGCTTACTTGGGTCACGTGATTTCGGAGAAAGGGGTAGCTATGGACATGGAGAAAGTGAAAGCTATTGTAGAATGGCAAGAACTGAAAAATCTCAGGGAGCTAAGGGGTTTCTTAGGTCTCACGGGTTACTACCGGAAATTTGTGTCTCGATATGCTCAAATCGCGGGACCACTCACCTCACAATTGAAGAAGGACAATTTCTGGTGGTCTAAGGAGGCAGCCCACGTCTTTGCAGCCCTCAAAACAGCTACGACAACAGCCTCGGTGTTAGAGGATGCCCGATTTTCGATTAGAGTTTGTGGTGGAGACGGATGCTTTGGGATTCGGACTTGGTGCGGTGTTAATGCAACAAGGGCAGCCCATAGCGTATTTTAGCAAGCTTCTTGGAGTGAGAAATCAAGCCAAATCCATTTATGAAAAAGAGTTGATGGCTATTAGCTTGTCGGTTATGAAGTGGCGGCATTATTTACTTGGAAGGCACTTTGTCATAAGGACCGATCAACAAAGCTTGAGGTTTCTCACCCAACAACGGGAGGTCGGAGGCGAGTATCAAAAGTGGATGAGAAAGTTGATGGGCATGGATTTCGAAATTCAATACAAACCCGGGCCGTCTAACAAGGTGGCAGATGCTCTTTCCCGCAAGGACAGCAATGGGATTCAATTTGGGGCCTTAATTTCGACACGAGTGGTGGATTGGACCGAGTTAGAGAGTGAAATTTCAAAGGATCCATGGCTGATTGGACTTCGTGACTCCCTGGCAGCCAAGGCAGAAGGGATTTTTCTTGGAGGGAAATCAAGTGCTGTATAAAGGGCGAGTGGTGTTGCCTAAGGGGTCGAAATTCATTCCTGTACTACTTTGTGAATATCATGATACTCCAGCAGGGGGGCATGAAGGAGAGGTGAAAACATACTTGAAGCTCGCGGTGGATAGGTTTTGGCCCGGAATGAGAAAGAAGGTGGGGAGTATGTGCGGCAATGTGTGGTATGCCAAAGGAGTAAGACTTCTCAGCAAGGGGCAACAGGTTTGTTACAACCTTTACCGGTGCCGGAGGCAATTTGGGAAGAGATCTTAATGAATTTCATTGAGGGGTTACCTCTTTCGAAAGGGGTGGACTTGATTTTAGTTGTGGTTGATCGACTGTCAAAATACAGCCACTTTGTTGGCCTTAGGCACCCCTTTACCGCATTGAAGGTGGCTGACATGTTTGTCAGGGAGGTGGTTAAGTTGCATGGATTTCCGCTTTCAATTGTCTCGGATCGAGATAAGGTATTCATGAGCAGTTTTTGGAAGGAACTGTTTCGGCTTCAAGGAACACACCTCAAGCGTAGTACCTCCTATCATCCACAAACGGATGGTCAAACCGAGGTCGTGAACAAGTGTTTGGAGACTTACCTCTGTTGCTTTGTGACTAATCAGCCTAAGTCTTGGGCTCAATGGCTTCCGTGGGCCGAGTTCTCATACAACACCTCACCCCATTCAGCAACTAAAATGACTCCTTTCAAGGTTGTGTATGGGCGAGACCCTCCGAAGTTATGGAAGGTGAAAGAGCAAGCTACGGTAGTGGAGAGCGTGGAAGAGAGTCTGAAGGAACGTGACCTGATTTTAGATGAGCTGAAGATGAATCTTAACCGTGCCCAACAGCTCATGAAGGAAACAGCAGATAGCAAGCGAAGGGATGTGCAGTTTGAGGTAGGGAACATGGTCTTCCTTAAGCTGCAGCCGTATAGGCAGAGATCGCTGGCCAAGCGACCCTTTGAGAAGTTGGCAGCTCGATATTATGGCCCATTTGAAGTACTCCAGCGAATTGGCAAAGTGGCATACCATCTGAATTTGCCCAAGGAGAGCAAAGTCCACCCAATTTTTCATGTTTCACAATTGAAGCAGGCTGTGGGAGACTTCCCAGTGCTGCCACCCTACCCAGCCAACCGACCGCTGACTTGGAGCTCGTTGTTGAGCCCGAGGAAATTCTGGAAGTGAGGCAAAAAGGAGGCGGAGTGGAACTGAGAGTTGAATTGTTGGTAAAATGGAAAGGGTTACCAGAATTTGAAGCAACTTGGGAGGAGTTTGAAGCCATGGATCAACGCTTTCCTCACTTCCA